TTGCGTTTAGAAGTTTTTCTTAACTGTTCCATGTCCAGATGCTGTCCAGAGCCTTTTTTCATCATCAGAAATGCATGCAGGTTTCGCGTGAAGGAAAAAATGGTAGAATGTGCTGCATTATGCTCATGATGGGATCCATAGTGAATACAACCAGAAAAGACAGGTCATCTCAACACATACTGCTCTATCTGCTTCTGCTCTCTCTAGTCCTCTCAAAATGTCTGAAATAGTTAATTTTGTACTGTTTTCCAGAGCATTCTGGGCATTTGGGAAGATCTCCTGAGGTTATCTTTTAAAAAAAACGCTTCTAAACGCAAACGTGCATAAACACATTATGCAAACGCGGCTAAACTGACGTTTTTTAACTTACGTTTTCCAGCAGTCAGTTTCCATCGTTCAGAAGAGTTTTCCAGACTCCCCGTGTACATGATCCCTTACCTGGGTGTGGTCTGAGACCAAGCTCAGGTAACCCACAAAAAGTGTCATTTTCTTTTTGTTCTTTACAAAGTATTTCCTCCTTGACCAAATATTGTTATGCACAGAGATTTTATTTGGTCTTTTATGCATACCGGGGCTGTTTGTATCCACAGTCTGGCACTGGCTATAGGGAATGAGCGCTTAGTTTGAATTCTTCTATATCGTAGCATAGCACACGTGTGTATCCTACGTGTCCAGTGTACAGAGACTGACCTGGTGCCACCAGCCAGATGATTTCCTTGCAGTGATATTTATATTCTTCCTTAGCAGCAGGAAGCTGGCTTGGGGGAGTTATTGTTTTATTTCTGAGAATCTGGGGAATTTTGTTGTGATTGTATATTTAATGACTTCTGGAGCAGCTGGCTTATCGGAGCCGGATTCTGTAGGCCGTTAAACGTTTCTTTTGGCTGCCGGCTGGTTCTGGGGGCTTGGAGCAAAGTGCTCTGCTGATGTACAGCAGCTGGAAGCCGTCTCCTGGCAGCTGTGTACTTGCTGCCGTTTTCCTCCACGTGGTCACAGATGTCTGTGTTTTTTTGGATCCTGAATTAGCAGTGTAGCAATACATTTACCGCCATGAAGAAAATTGGTCTATTATTAAAGCGGTATTAAACCCCAAACCGAAAATGTAATATACTGCAGTTTACCAATCCTTAGATGTAGCTGCATTACTTTTCTTTTTTAGACTTTTTTTATTTTCACCTGGTGATCTGGGCAGTAATACACCTCCTGTATTAGGGGGCCTACACTCTGGATGAAGGAGCAACTGAAAAAGCAGCTTTGTCAGTCTGAGGGCTAGAGGAGTGTTATATGTACTAGCAGATTTAAATACAATAACAAACTGAAGCCAAACTCCAGCTAATAATTTTAAAGCAGTTACAGCAAATGTTTTTTTTTTCTTTTGAGAAAAAGATTGTATATTAACAAATAAATGCTGACCATTGTAAGCGCCTCTGTCAGTGGTAAATGGTTTGCTTCAACCCTCTAAGGCTAGGTTCAAATCTGTGTGGGTGGTGCCGCTGCGGATCCGCACAAAAATCCGTGCAGCCGCACCACCCGCACAGAGAAATGCGGACCCACGGGCGGGTGCCATTAGTTCTAATGGCATGCCGCCCGCACTGGAAAACGCAACCATACTGGGAACCGAGGTTCCCGTACGGGCTGCATTTTCGGAAGAAGTGTAGGGACTTCTTCCCTGCATGTCACAGACACAGGAGTCCATTCAAATGACTGGGCTCTCGTGCCTGCACAAAACGCGGCCCGCACGGCCGCATATATGTGAACTGGGGCTGACTGTTGCATCTGCAGGATGGACTTATTAGCAGGATCACCAAGTTTAATAAAGGAAAGAAAGCCCCAAAAAAAGAAAACTAATGCGCCTATCACATCTAAGAATTAATAAGCTGCAATATAATAAATATTTGCTTTTGGGTTTAATTATACTTTAAAGTGGTTGTAAAGGCTCAAGGCTCATTCTATGCATGCAGGTAAAAACCTTTTGTGTGCAGCAGCTCCTCCAGCCCCCTCAATACTTACCTGACCCTCATTGTGATCCAGCGATGTGTACGACAGCCTCGGCTGTTCCAGGTCTCTGCCTCCTCATTGGCTAAGACAGCAAGCAGGAGCCATTGGCTCCCGCTGCTGTCAATCACAACTAGTCAGCCAATGGGGAGAAAGGGGGGGGTAGGGCCAAGCTGTGGCTCTGTGTGTGAATGGAAAAGCTGCATGCTGTGGGGGCACCCGACAGGAGGGAGGGGCCAGGAGAGCCTGCGGGGCACCCGAGAAGAGGAGGATCCAGGCTGCTCTGTGCAAAACCACTGTACACAGCAGGTAAGTACAGACATGTTTGTTATTTTACAAAAAAAAAGGAACCTTTAGAATCGCTTTAAGGTCTCTAGAGCTATTCATTGACTTGGGTCAATCTTTGTCCTTACAGGTTCAGATCACCTATGTGAACTGTTGGCCACAAAATCCTTCCATGTGTACCCTGAGTGCCTTCAGTGATGAGAATGTTTCCTATGTGTATTGTCTCTCTGTGTCTGACTAAAAAGAAGAAATCTGGACTGAACATGGGCTGCCAACTCTAGACTTTGGGTCCAGGGTCAACCTTTGCTCATATAATTTCAGATCATCTATGTGACCCGTCAGCCAAATAATCCAAAAAATCCTTCCATGCATACCTTGTGTACCTTTGGTGATGGGAATGTTTCCTATGTATTATATCTGTCAGTGTCTGTTTAAAGAAGAACTCATAAAGGGCTTTCATCTCAGAACCTATATTTAAATAACACCTGCCTGGTCTCCTTCCATTCAGCTGTGATTTCAGATGATGGAAACAGTCCCTTGAAGCCCTTCAACTGAGATCTTAGGCATCAGGTCACACGACAAATCACCATGGGCATTTGAATCGGTGTTTTATGCAAGTCCAGAGGGTGTCTGAGGGCTGCCTGTACCAACTATTCATTTATAAGAAGAAAGGCATGCAGGAGTTTAGGTGGCTCTTACTGTATGTAGCTACAGTATACATGTGTTTTAAAAAGCATTCAATTATTTTTCATGAGAGGCTTTCAAATTTACAAAAAAATTACCTACTTTTCTAAAAAAGCTAACTTGTATTTCAGTTCATTGAACCCTTCATTATCATGTTCCTTTGCACCGAACGACCAGTGCCAACTGGTCACTACAATTGTTAACTCATAGGGGTAATATATTAGCTGTAGCTGAATTAAAGGTCTGTATTTATAAAAAAAAAAGGTTTGCAGAGCTGTTCATCCTGAGAAACAACTGGTACATTTGTTTTATGTGAATGCAGAAAAATCAAATGTTCCCCTTCTAGTTCCTCTACAGATCGAATGTTATTCACAAAAAATAAAGTGGCTGGGAGAAATATTGCATTCTGACCACTGAATGGAGCTGAAAAAGATGGGCACAACTTCTACACTCCTGGTCCTGATCACACTTCCATCATTTCAATCAAAATTTAGGCTCCATGTGCAGGTGTTTTTTGAAAAAAAAAAAAAAAATTATATACAGGCGTACCTCGGTTTACGAATGCCTCGGTTAATGTAATTTTCGGTTTACGAATGAAAATCCATTGAAAATAATGGCTCGGTTTACGATTTTTTTTCAAAATACGAACGGATGAATTGGTTTTCCATGCATTTACGATTTTTTTTAATCATGTCCCTGTACAATACTATGCTTTTAAAGTGCACTTTATAAAGAGTTTTGAACAGATAAGACTTTTTTTTTACTTTTCTCTGACCTCTGGAATTAATTAATTGGTTTTCAATGCATTTACAAATTTTTTTTTAATCATGTGCCTGTACCAGGGGTGGACTGACCATTTGGAAACTCGGGCACTGCCCGAGGGCCTGGGGTCAGTAGGGGGCCCCATAAGATGCCCCTGGTACCTTTTTCATAGGCTTTTTTGAGTTTGGGCAAGAACACAGGGGCCCCATGATCCCCTATTGCCCGGGGGCCCCATGAGCTGTCAGTCCGCCCCTGGCCTGTACAGAATTTATGCCTTTAAAGTGCACTTTATAAAGAGTGTTGAACAGATAAGACCTTTTTGACTTTTTTCTGACCTCTGGAACGGATTAATTGGTATTCAATGCATTTACAATTTTTTTTAATCATGTCCCTGTACAATACTATGCTTTTAAAGTGCACTTTATAAAGAGTTTTGAACAGATAAAAGACTTTTTTTTTTACTTTATTCAGACCTCCGGAACGGATTAATTGGTTTTCAATGCATTCCTATGGGAAACAGTGTTTCGGTTTACAAATTTCTCGCAATACGAAAAGTCCCGCAGAATGCATTAAATTCGTATATACCGAGGTATGCCTGTGTATGTATATATATATATATATATATATATATATATATATCGAGAGGAGAGAGAGAGAGAGAGAGAGAGAGCTACCCCTGTAAGAGCCGCTATAATACTGTCCAGGTCTTCCCTCTTTTGGCTCGCAGCCAGGCACAAGGTAGTTTTACAGCCAGGTACACACATGCACTTTCGTTCGTTGTTTCCAATGATCTGTCAAGGGGTTGTTGTTTATGTCATTTTTTTTGTTTGAGAACTTGGATAGGGAGAAGAGGATTGAGTAGGATACTCCAAGAACAGAACTAGTTACAGTTGAGGACAGAAACTTCAACTTAAAGTGGTTGTAAACCTCAGCCATGAAATCTGAATAAAGCGTATATACTGTATCTGTAGTGTTTACTAGTCTCTCTACAAAGCTCTAAATGTCATTTTTCTGTGGTGCTTTGTTCCTCTGTTATTAGCATCAGCCACTTCTGAGAATAAATACCCTCCCCCGGCATCCTTCAGGGCTACATTCCCTGGGACTGGCTGGAGTAGAATTAATATTCATACTGTGTTCTGCATGAGTTCCACCTATACATGCAGAACTTTCCTAGGTTAATGGGATACAAAGAAAACCAAAGGCAGAACTAGCAACACACCGAGCAGGAGTCACTAAACAATTGCAGCTCTCTGTTAAAGTGTTACTAAACCCAGGACCCTGCATTCACTATATCTGGTCTCCCACAGTACACACAACTTGGAAGTGCAATTATTGTGTAAATATAAATTGCTAAATACCTTTTCTCATCAGCAGTTAGAGCAATCTTGTGACTTCAGCAGAGCACTGGTTAAAGCTTGTAGGAGAAGTTTTCTTTCTGCTCTAGGAGAATGTGAAAGTCCTGACCCTGTGTCTGGACAGTGCTGATTTGCCCTGTGCAGATCACATGCACTCTCCCAAGAAAAAAAAAACCCTCTCTAGCAATACACACCAAACTGAGCATGTGACCACGGGTTCAGTATGTATCAGATGGTTTCAACAAGAGGAAGGGCAGAGAAGACAGGATCAAACAGCCTTTTTTACACAATGCAGAGGATTAACCTCTTAGGTTCCACAGTGAGTATAACAAGCGTGCTTTACTGCATATTCAGACTGATCTAACTGTTGCCAAAGCTCTGCTGCCAAAGTGACTGCAGAGCTCAATCTCAGTTTTCACAAAATTGTCCCAGAGGAAAAAAATGCAATCACTATATCTAAGAATTGGCAAGCTGCAATGTAATATGTTTCTGTTTTGTTTTGGGGTTCAAGTGTTACTAAACCCAGGACCCTGCATTCACTATATTTGGTTTCCCACAGTACACAGAACATGGAAATGCAATTATTTTAGTAAATATAAATTGCTAAATACCTTTTCTCATCAGCAGTATATAGCAGTCTTGTGACTTCTATCAGTGTTCAGCAGAGCACTGGTTAAAGCTTGTAGGAGGAGTTTTCATTCTGCTCTAGGTGGATGCAGAACCATTGACCTCTGTCTGCACAGTGTTGATTTGCCCTGTGCTGATCACATGCATTCTCCCAAGACAAAAAAAAACCCTCTCTAGCAATACACACCAAACTAAGCATGTGCAGAGTGACTCCGCATGTATGTCTTATCAGGAGATAAGAGGAGGACACTGGAAAAAGGGGAGGATCTGAGAAGTCAGGATCAAACAGCATTTTTAGAGAATGCTGAGGATTAACCCCTTAGGTTCCACAGTGAGTATAACAAGCATGCTTTACTGCATATACAGACTGATTTTACTGTTGTGGGTTTAGTAACACTTTAAAGCTTCTTTAACCACTTGCCTACCGGGCACTTTTACCCCCTTCCTGCCCAGGCCAATTTTCAGCTTTCAGTGCTGTCACACTTTAAATGACAATTGTGCGGTCATGCAACACTGTACCCAAACAAAATTTGCATCTTTTTTCAAGGCAGAGATTTTTTTTGGTGGCATTTAATCACTTCTGGGCTTTTTATTTTTGGCTAAACAAACTAAAAAACTAAAAATTAAAAAAAAAAAAACTTTTTTTCTTGGTTTCTGTTCTAAAATTTTGTAACTAAGTAATTTTTCTCCTTCACTGATGTGCCCTAATGAGGCTGCAGTGATGGGCACTAATAGGCGACACTGATGAGGAGGCACTTGTAGGTGGCACTGATGGGCATTGACAGGCATGACTTGTGGGCATTGACTGGCATCACTGATGGGCACTGAAAGGCAACACTGATGGGCGGCACTGATAGGCGGCACTGATAGGTGACACTGGCACTGATAGATGGCACTGATGGGCACTGATAATCGGCACTGATTGGAACTGTTAGGCGGCACTGATGGGCGGCACTGATAGGCGACACTGGCACTGATAGGTGGCACTGATGGGCACTGATAGTTGGCACTGAAAGGCAGCTCTGAAGGGCACTGATATGTGGCATTAATCTGCACTGATGGGCACTGGTATGTGGCATTGATGGGCACTGACAGGTGGCATTGATGGGGCTACACTGATCATCAGGCCACTCCTCTCCTCACGCGCTGCTGATAACCCCATGTTTCCCAGTAGGTACCATTCAAAGCTGTGTGACTTCAAGTTGCAGCAAATTCAAAGCAGTTCCTGCATTACTTTGGTCTGACTTTCATGCGACTTGCGGGTCATAGACTTCAATGTAAACCCTCCAAGGTCATATGAACGTCACACCTGAATGTTGTACATGCGACTTGTATGTGACTTTGTACAGCAAACAATCATCCTTTGTCAAAGCCAAAGTTGCACCAAAGTTACGTCAAACATCAAGTTGTACTGTAAAGTTGCAATGAAAATCGCATGATTTTTAAGTCACACAAGTGTGAATGGACCCTAAAGTGGTTCAAAGGCTAAACATTTTTTGTACTTTAATGCATTCCCTGCAAAAAAATGTAGCGCACTCCTCTCTTCCTCTCCTTACAGTCACACAGGTAGCAGCGAAAGTCATTGGCTCCTGCTGCTGTCAGTCAAATCCTTGAGAAGAGGGAGGCGAGGCTGAGTGGCTCTTTTGTGTTTCCATTGACATACACAGCCCGGCTCAGGAGCGAGCCCACATGTCTGCCCTCAGCGGTTTGTTGTGGTGACAGACACAAAAGAGGAGAAGCAGAGAGTGCCAGCGGGGAACCCTAGAAGTGGGGGTTCAGAGCCGCTCTGTGTAATACCATTGCACAACAAATAACGTACACATATGTGGTCCTGCTGAGATCCTCAGGAGCAGGAGAATATATTTTGTGTTGTTCTTTGATGGTGAATTATCATAATAGCAAAAAATTTACAGCTAGATTTTTAAAAATATTTTTGTACTATTTTGTGCAATTTTTTTTTTAACCACTAACCTACAGGGCACTTATACCCCCTTCCTGCCCAGGCCAAATTCCAGCTTTCAGCGCTGTCACACTTTGAATGACAATTGCGCGGTCATGCAACACTGTACCCATATGAAATTTTTATCATTTTTTTGAGACAGATAGAGCTTTCTTTTGTGGTATTTAATCACCTCTGGGATTTTTATTTTTTCTTAAACCCAAAAACCACAGAAAATTTTGAAAAAAAAAGTTTTTTCTTACTTTTTGTTATACAATTTTGTAAATAAGTGATTTTTCTCCTTCACTGATGTGCGCTAATGAGGCTGCAGTGATGGGCACTGATAGGCTGCACTGATGGACACTTATAGGTGGCACTGATGAGGAGGCACTGGTAGGTTGCACTGATGGGCATTGACAGGCATCACTGATGGGCACTGAAAGGCAGCACTGATACATGACACTGATATATGGCACTGATAGGCGGCACTGACAGACAGCACTGACTGGCACTGATAGGCGGCACTGACTGGCACTGTTAGGCGGCACTGACTGGCACTGATAGGTGGCACTGACTGGCATTGTTAGGCGGCACTGATAGGTGACACTGACTGGCACTGATAGGTGGCACTGATTGGCAGCACTGATAGGTGGCACTGATTGGCATTGATAGGTGGCACTGACTGGCACTGATGGGTGACATTGAAAGGCAGCTCAGATGGGCACTGATATGTGGCATTGATGTGCACTGGTATGCACTGATATGTGGCATTGATGTGGCACTGGCACGTGGCACTGGCACGTGGCACTGATGGGCACTGGCACGTGGCACTGATGAGCACTGACAGGTGGCACTTCTGGGGCCACACTGATCATCAGGGCACACTGATCATCAGTGCCCTGATGATCAGTGTACATGTCCCCTCTGCGGAAAGCCGATTGACAGCTCGAGAGGAGAGAAATGCCGATAACCGGCATTTCTGTGTTTATATGTGATCAGCTGTGATTGGACACAGCTGATCACATGACCGAGCCGACATCTTTGGCTCTTTCCGTGATCCACTGTGTCCAAGGGACACAGCGCACCGGCGATCGCCGCACTGCGTGCTCCCTGAGCCGCGCATGCACAGTGAGAATGGTAGGACATCATATGACGTCCTATCAGAACGAGAGAACCACCTTGCGCCTGTCATTGTACTATAGGGCGGGCGGAAGGTGATTAATAACAAAAAAAAAAAATCAGGAAATATCCATTACCATCTACCACAGAATGAAAGCTCGATTTGTCCAGAAAAACAGTAAGACTTGTTTTACGCTTGGTCATTAAGGGGTTAAAGAACCTCGTATATCAGGCATCTTTTCCCCTAAAATATTCATTCATTTTGATGCCACCAATCGGTTGGGTTTTCTTGTTGTGAGTGGCATTCCATTCATACTCCCCCGTCTATTCCAGTCACATTTATATAAGTTGTGTATATTCTTTGAACTTTTCTTCCCCATTTCCTTATCAGAGATTGCAGAATGCAGTCAATCATCAGAGCCTCTCCCAGGCTGTGACACAGGAGGAGCTGCCTCCTTCCCCTTAGTCTCACCCTGGCTGTCTTACCTCCATACAGCTGTCTACTGAGCTGTATTCAGGATCTGGACAGCCCAGTGCACGCAGCAGAGCACTTTTCTCTGTACACTTCTCACACCTACTTACTGGAGATCCTTTGCTTATCCTTCCAGGTTAAGACCAGGCTTAACAGTTCTGTGTTTTGGGCAAAGTCAGTGCAAGAGAGGGAGAAAGTTAAACTGGAGAGTCCTCTGGAAGATGCAGATCTTAGAAAGAGGGGACAAACTCTGTATTTACCAAGATTTCAGCCTTCTGAAGAGGAACCCACCTGGGTCGTGTGCTGTCTAAGTCACCTCTGGTTGTAAAGTTACCGTAGTCGTTGCAGGTAAGTCACCAGAGTGGATCCTCCAACCCTTGGCTACGTGTTTTTTTGCTGATTTGTGTCTTAAACATACCTGTCACTCACTTTACTGAGGAAGGTCGAACATGTAATATCTTGAATTTTAAACGTGGGAAAGTGTAGATTCCAACTGTCCTTGAATTTTAAAATTGATACATGTAAACTTAGGTCCCTGGGTTTCAAAACTAACCAAACTGGCAGTAACATATATTGTAAATGCTAGAATTAGTCTTTGCCATTTAATTATTTGTGGTTTTTTTTTCATTTTATTGGAGCACCTTAATAATATGAAAAAGTATATTCCTATTTAATAAATAGTACATAATCTGATCTGTAACAATATAGTATAGAGCAGCCATTCTCAACTAAGGTTTTATGCAACCTGAGTCGTGTCCTGTATAAGTCACCTCCGGTTAGAAAGTTACCGTAGTCTTTTCAGGTAAGTCACAAGAGTGGATCCTCCAACCCTTGTCTAGATTTTGTTTTGTTGAGTTGTGTCTTAAACATACCTGTCATTCACTTTACTAAGGAAGGTTGAACATGTAATATCTTGAACTTTAAATGTAGGAAAGTGTAGATTCCAACTGTTCTTGAATTTTAATATTGATACATGGAAAAAACAAACTAAACTGGTAATAACATATTTTGTAAATGCCAGAATTAGTCTATGCCTTTTGATTATTTATGCTTTCTTATTTTTATTGGAGCACCTTAATAATATGAAAAAATATATTCCTGCTTAATAAATAGTGTATAATATGATCTGTAGAATATAGCATAGAGCAGCCATTCTCAACTAAGGTTTTATGGAACCCTAGGGTTCCTCTAGAGCAGCCTTTTCAACATAGAGGAACCCTTGAAACAACTTTCTGGTCTCAGTAAACCCCTGCGTAAAATTACTATATCTACAACTCATGTACATTAGTATCATGGTCAATGGGAAGAATTACTTGTAACACTTGTGGTCATTGGGAAGAATTACCCCCTTACAGATAGCTAAAAAGATCAATGGTGTCAGTGGGAACACATCTGAGAGGCAGAAATTGCTCATTGTTCAAGGAACCCCTAGCAACCTCTGGAGGAACCCTAGTTGAGAAACTCTGCCCTAGAGGTTGCTAGGGGTTCCCTGAGCTGCAGTTGATTTACCTCCCATTAAATGGTCCCTGCGTTGTTACTGTGCACCTGGCAGAGAGAGCTCAATGACACCAGGGATCAAATAGGGGTGGCATTCTGACCACCATTATAAGGAGGGCATTCTGTCTACTGGCCCCCAATATAAGGGACATTTTCCCACTATCAATGAATTGGGTTTAGCAGGGATTCCCTGAGACCTGAAAGTTATTTTACGGGTTCCTCTGGGGTAAAAAGATTGCAAAGGCTGGTACAGAGTATGACAAGATTTACTCCTTCGTTCATCAGCAAATGTCCCTGAAAAATCTTTTGGCCAATATGACCAAGTACAGTCCATTGTTTCTCAACTCTACAACTTTGTATTTGAATTCCATTTGCTGTCCATATTCTGTGATAATCCATTGTAAATAATCCCGTTATGCTGTAATATTGCAAAAATATACATTACTCTGAATTAATGTCTAATCCTTAAAGTTCTCTACTGAGAGCTAATATTTTACATTTTTGGGAGGGTGCTGGTATTCTTAGACATAATTACTGCCCTTGTGTTCTTAGGCTGGCCTTACTGCTACCTAGGGGTTGCACTCCATCTTTTGGAGTTAAAAAAATATTTATAATGGAAAATCAGCAGTAGGAGTGAGAATTTATGGCGATGGTGGTGGGGTGGTGGGAGAGTTGAGTTAGAAACTCCATCAGGGAGCTGCAAGGAGTGAAGATATTCAGGTCATAACTGTCAGCCAAAATTGGAAATTTTACAACATATTTCAGTATTGCAGGGGTAAACTCTTTAAATTGTATTGGAATTACTTTTTTTTTTATAAGAAATACTTGTTACAGCTGCTTAAAAATACCATCAGAGGTACCTGTGTCATTGCTGCTGGAACTCATGTAGTCCTTGGGAATTTTGCTTCAGGCTATAATGTGTTATACAATATGTTTTCCCCCATTTCTTTTTTGAACTTGACAGGACTTTTTCCTCTTTCTATACAGCTGCAGCTATATTTCTGCTACAAGTCTCCCCCCTCCTCCAGACAACCAGCAATGGCACACAAACATGACTTCCTGTGGATTTTGGGGTTTCTGCTTGTCCACGGGTCCCTTGCAAGACCCCCAGATGAAAATGACTACTATCACCAGGAAATTGTATCCAGGGATCATTATTACTCTTACCCGGACCCTGAGGAGATACAGACACCCCTGGAGCCAGAAGGAGTGGAGGAGGTGGCCCCGGAGCCCATAGAGGAGGTGATACATCAGAGCCAAGACACGAGGGAGGAGAACTACCCATTGCCAAAGAAAGAGATCAGCAAACCTAAAAAGATTACCAAGAAGGTGGAAAAATCCCACTTACAGAAACCAGGCAAGTTTCTTTAAAAGGTTCTACAAGTAGGCAGACAAACTTCTTGATTAGAAAAGTTTGGCAGATTTATTTACACTAAAACATTGGTAATAAGAATGAAAATTGATGTTGCTTATAGCAACCAGTGAACTGATTTTGCTTCCATACTGGTCTTGAAATGATAGGTGGATAGGTTGGTGCAATCAATAATACTTTTCTGTCTTCCAGTTTCTGGATAGTTTATGAAAAATACCCTGTAACAAAATGGACGGCTGTAGACCAACTCTCCTTGTACACCTTGGGGTTGGCTGTTCACTTTGCAGGGGAACTTTCCCTTAGCTTAGTGAATATGGTAAAAATTCATTTTGCAAAGAATACCCAATAACATGCAAGGAATTAAAAAAAAAAAAGTATCTTTGCCTGCATATGATTGGATGATGGACATCAGCAGACCTTCATCCCATTCACTAAGCAAAGGAAAAATTCTCTTGCAAAGTAAAAAGCCTTTTTGCCTTTAGTAAATTAACCCCTTTAGGTACTGTTTTTACATGCATGCTAGGTCCTGTGTTCGCATGTAGGCAGCCTATTTGTTTAAATGGGCTGCCCTCCCCATAGAATTGCAGGGAAAACTCTTTATTTTAAAACCGTGCTGCACCAAGAAGTCGCATGGTGCCACAGCACCATGTGATTTGACTTGCACGAAAACACGCCTCATTTGCCGACGCATGAGGGTGCCATTAACAATTATTGGCACCCCTGAATGTCTGCTAAACTGTGTTTTGCCTGCGGGTCAGGAGCATGCACAATTTTGCAAGTCTTTCCAACACGCACAAGTGAAAAACCTAGCCTAAAGGCTCATCCATATGGATTTCGATAAGGGGGGTTTGCAAGATTTTTCAATACCTGCCAAGTTCCTCTATTTCAAAACACACTTCTGTATTTATTGGCCATTGTTTTGCACTGCACCCAACCAGTTTCGAATTGAAGTATTGAAAGAACATTGTCAGGGTGAGTCATATGGTGACTGTAAGGCATGGACACTGGATGACCTTCTGTATCTTCTCTGAATGTAGCCAAGGTGCATAGGCCCTGTCTGTGGAATATTATAGAAAAATAAAGGACCATTGCCATTGGCAACCAATGAGATGCTGTGATTTTGACTTCTGACTTTTTATTAAATATTATTTTGTGGGCTTTTTTTTTAGGAATACCATGGCTATGCTTGCTATTTACAATAAAGGCTTGTTTTAATTCAAACATTTTTGTGTTGCAGACAATTATTTTTGGCAGGGGCCCACTGTTGTGTTTTCAGTTTCTTATATTGGTGGCCCCGTGTCTGCATACTTGGTGGCTTTGGCTTGTTCTTTGGTTGTTTGATTTATTTGTGACGCTTTCTTTTGACATTGACCCCAAACAGTACTGACGTAGCCATAGTCAGAGCACCACTTGGAGGAAAGGAAAAAAAAATAGATCCTGGGCAAATAAAACTTATTTCTCACCTCTTTCATCTCCACTGCTTTCTGCATTAAAATATCAATTAGACAAATTTTAGCAATATGTAGCCTTCGCTGAAATCTGTGATGTATTAAAGCTGTCAGGTTCATGCCAAAGAGGCATCTGGAGCGCACTTAAGAGAAACTGTCTTAATGGTTTGCCAAGTGGGGCCCGCACACCAGATGGTAAGCACACATCCATTTATGAGGCTTGGCTCTGGCTGGTCCCTAGTCTATGTGCTTCGTGGAAACATAATCTTTGAATGGGGACCACTGCGGGTCTTGTGCCATGCCTGCGTTATGAGACCGCCATACAATAATTGATTTTACAGGAATGTTTGTTGAAATCGAAAGGTTTCTTTCTACATTAAAGTCTAATTCTAGCCAAAACCTTTTATTTTAATTGTGTATAGAGATGGAAACAGCAAATAATTCTGTTAAAGAGGATCTTCACCCTAGAAACAAAAACTTAAGTCAGCAGCTACAAAACCTGTTGCTCCTGACTTTTAATAAAAGGATACTTACCTGTCCAAAGATCCAGTGGTGTCCTCACCTGGACTGTTTTTTCACTAGTCTTAGAGGCCCGGTGTTGGCATCTTTATTGTGGGAAGCCGGCTGATACTCCTTGCAGGGGCGGACTGACCATTTGCAAACTCGGGAACTGCCCGAGGGCCCGGGTCAGTAGGGGGCCCACTGTGATGCCCCTGGTACCTTTTTCATAGGCTTTTTTGAGTTTGGGCAAGGACACAGGATCCCCATGATCCCCTATTGCTCGGGGGCCCATGAGTTGTCAGTCCACCCCTGACTCCTTGCAGATTACTACTGTGCATGCACAAGCCATGCTACGATTTGTGAATGGTTCCACAGCCTTCTGGGACCTGTGATGTGCCCCAAGAGGCTGCGGGGCGGGGGGCCTAGGCGATCTGAGTGGAAGTGGGAGTGGGTATCAAAACTAGGTATCCGCTTCCCTCAAAAAATGTAATGTGCCAAAAGTTGAAGGGGGGGGGGGTGATGTTTCACTTTAAGATTACCCATGACTACAATGGGGAGATCCTGTGACAACATGACAAGAAGTAAGGAGAGCGGTTGTCACTGGGAAAGGAAGACACAGACAGGAGTAAAAGTTAGCCGGAAATTGTAACCCTTCCCCACTCTGTCCAATACTAAAATGTTTTTTTAAAAAATGTAAGAGAATAGCAGATCACCAGAGCAAGGTAATAAACAGTTGTATGCATGATGGATAAATGGCACTGTGTAACCTGAACCTGTGCTATAAACCAGCAGTTTTAAATGTACACCTGGAGCTGGATTGATTTGTATGTTGGGGCTGACTTACTAAAGGCAAACAGGCTGTTCACTTTGCCAGGGAATTTTCCCTAGCGTTTAGCAAATTATATGAAATTGTGCTTTGCAAACAATTCCCTATTGTGTGCAAAGAAAATAATAAAAAAAAATATATTGAATGGTGAAGGTCAGCAGTGCTTCACCTCATTCCATAAGCTCTGAAGAAATTTCCCTTGCAAACTGAACACTATTTGCCTTTAGTGAATCAACCTTTTTTTTTTTTAACCCAAGTCTTACCTTAGGAGTTGTGGCTTTCTAATATTGCACTGATGGGGTGAAACAGTTAATATTTTGCCATTAGGGCTCCTTGTTTTTGGATACGTGATAGAAATGATGTAAGTACCTCCTGTTTTAACTACTCAAGTACCAAGCAAAATTTTAAAACTGTCCCGAAATAACATTTGTTTGTTCCATTGCTGTTTTAAAATAGCTTCCAGTCTTAGCAGCTGTGGCAGTTGTTTAGGTTGAACACTTCTCAGATAGTTAAATGGATTTAAATACATTAATTGGGTTTTTTGTGTGTGGAGGAATTTGGATTTCTGTCCATTAAATCCTGAGAATTCCTGACAGTCCTACTTGACAGCCAACCAACTTTTAGAGTTTGTTTACACTAGTTTCTAAATGTTGCACTGGACACTTTTTTTCAAATCGCTCTGAATGCCAATCAAAGCACATGTCACTTAATAAAATGGTACGCTTACAGTCCTGTTTGCACGTTGTTTTGGCTTTACATTGGCGATCTGGTTGGATGCTGCCACCCCATGTGACTCTGGCAGCCATCTTGGGTCAGGTAAAGTCTATTTTAGACCCTGGCTCCAGGGTTTGGTGTGCATTTTTGCGAGTAGACAGGTCAGGGACAGATCTTCAATCTGTAAGGGAAAGTTTCTAACAGGAAAGAGAGGTTCCTGATGAGTAAAGCCAGGCTAGGTACATGCCTTCATTCTTGGAATACTCCCACTTGGGTGCAGACCGGCAAGCCACATTCTGTACTCTAGGACAGACGCTGTCAACACTCTCAAGAACTGCTCAGTTCTACTTTGGCCAGCCATGCTGTGAGTATTCCCAGTTGGGTGTCTTCCCACTGGGCTATCTGTACCATTGAACTTTCTCTTAATACGAGTTTTGTTTCTTGCAACTCTGTGTCTTCACTGCCGCCGCACCACTCTGCACCCACCCACATGCCTATAGTGTAAATGAGTTGTGGATCTATCCCCTGTCCATGGGACAGTGGGAGCAGGGTCTAAATGTGAGACAGTCCCACACAATTTGGGACTATTGGGAGGTATGTGTGTATGGGGGCGTTCTCATTTTTTATTTGGAAGGGGATCCAAGTGCTTGGGTGTAACTTTTTTAATAAACTTTATTTTTATCCTATAGGGGAACAAAAGTTCCCTATGTGATGCTATTTTGTTGTGACAGATTCTTTTGAATGAGACCTCTGGTGTCTCACCTGCCCTCCATTGAAGCTAACATGGCACAGTCCATACTCCATTAGCTTCTTCCGTGGCCAGAGAGGCTGGGGAAAGTGACAACCAACACAGATGTGATGTTAATACGTGTCACTTTTGGGTTCTTACTAGGTAGGGGTAATCATCAAACCGGCATTAGTTAGTCCCTCTTCCCTCTATTGAGTGGCACCTGCCATGCTGGTCCCAGGTCTGCAGATCGGACAGTTGGGGTCCGATGTAGGAAGGGGTGACGAACATATCAGGAGTTCATGGAAATGTTTGGGGGGCTGTACAGCTGTGGGATTACCTCCCTGGAAAATTGACAGTTGGCTTGCCAGATTTGCACACATGTGTAAAAGCCTCTGCTGCTGCCGATTTATGGCAAACATCGGTGGCAGCAAAAGGGTTACATTGACAGCAGTGGTTCATTGCCAAACTCCTCCGTTTGTTACACTGCTACAGAACACTCAGTAAAAATTCTTGGTATCAGAATCAAACACAAGACTTTAGTATGGTGATTATAGAGGAAATGGCGTAATTCATTCTGTCACTGATGTAATCAGCATTTCCAGTGAGTTCTGACAGCCCTCATAAACAAGGCAGGTCTGACCCCTGTGACAGTTGATTACTTGATAATATATTTACAATATTAGTAACCAAACAGAACACCCATATACTTGATCGGCTTCTACAGATGTGCATAGGGGGCTGGATTAAGCTACCCCTGAAGAGCGAT